CCCTAAACCCTAAACCCTAAACCCTAAACCCTAAACCCTAAATCCTAAATCCGTGATCCACCAAGTCAAATGCACACACAACGTTAATCATACACCTTAAACCCTAAAACCTTTATCCAACGAGTCAAATGTGTACATACAACATAAACCCTAAACCCTAAACCCTAATGCCTAAACCCTTAACCCAACAAGTCAAATGTGCACAAACAATAAACCCTAAACCCTAAACCCTGCGGTGCCGTTGATCCCTAAACCCTATTACCCCCATTCATTTTATATTATTACTGCCCTGTTCTAAACCCTTCATCCTGATGCCCGAACCCTAGACCGTCTAAACCCTAAACCCTAAACCCTAAACCCTAGGCATTCTTACTGCAGATTTGAAGAAGGATGATGCTTCCGAGCCAAATTGACACCTTTGAAGCGTGTTTATTGCTCTGCAGGTAAAACATATTAATGCTTAGGGTTTAGGGTTTAGGGTTTAGGGTTTAGGGTTTAGGGTTTAGGGTTTAGGGTTTACCAGTACACACAAGTGCCAGCAAATAGAACGAACAAACAAACAAACAAAACAAACAAACAAACGAAAGAAACAAATAAATGAACAAACAAATAAACAAAAGTAAACAAACACAAACCAACAAATAAACAAATAAGATAAACAAAAAAACAAAAACACATACAAAACAAAAAGACGACAGTAAACAAATAAATCAAAACAAACTAAAATAAATCAAAACAAACAAACACATTAAAACAAATTAAATAAATAAACAAAAATAAACAAATAAAATAAACAAAACAAATAAAAATAAGATAAAATAAATAAAAACAAAAGTAAGATAAATAAAAAGAAAAAAAATAAAACGAGTAAAACCAAACTAAAATAAATGAAAACAAACGAAAATAAAATAAAGTCAATTAAAGAGAAATAAAAGCAAACAGAGATAAGCAAAAAGAAACAAAGTAAATAAAATAAAATAAAATAAATAAAATAAAACAAATTAAAAATAATCTAACCTGCTCTGTCCACTCCTTTTCAAGTTGCACATCGACAAACTGCAGACTTAGAGGTTCGATATTAACCCCAAGCCTCCCAGTAAAACAAAACAAACTGCCTGCTGTTTTTTTATTTATTGAAACCCTAAACAAATAAACAATAAACGCAAACAAACAAAAACAAAAAGAAAGAAAGAGAAGAAAAAAAGAAGAAAGAAAAAAAAATTGTACAACAGAAAATATAAAAAATTATAAATAAAACAAAATAATAAACGTAAAATAATTCAAAGATAATAAAATATAAATAAAAATAATAAAAATATAAAAAATAAAATATAAGAAACATAGTTTAATAAAAAAAGAGACAGTAAGAAGAAGAAAACAGATAAACAAAAACAAAAACAGAAACAAAAGCAAAAATAAAAATAAATAATAAAAATAAAAATAAAAACAAAAATAAAAACAAAAATAAAACAAACAAAACCAAACAGAGAGAAGAAAAAAGGAATGAAGAAAGAAGAAAACAGAAAATATGCCTCGCTAACACGTGAAATCAATAAATAAATAAATAAATAAATAAATAAATAAATAATAAACTTGCATTGATGCATGCATGCGTCACGTCCACGCAGAAACAAAGAAATATATAAATGAATATTGAAATAGAGAGAGAAATACAACATATTTATATTTTTGCATGCATGCATGCATGGAAATATGTATGCATGCATGCAAATAGATATGCATGCATGCATGCAAATATATATGCATGCATGCAATGATATATGCATGCAAAGATATATGCATGCAAAGATATATGCATGCATGCATGCAAATAGTTAATGCATGCATGCATGCAAAGATATATGCATGCATGCATGCACATAAATAGATATCCATGCATGCAAATAGATATGCATGCATGCAAATATACATGCATGCATGCAAATCGATGTGCATGCATGCACTCTAGTAGGACGGTTACGTGCAGATATGACGCCGTGTGCCCAGCATGGGTGCTGCTGCTGCTGCTGCTGTTGCTGCTGCTGCTGTTGCTGCTGCTGTTGTTGCTGCTGCTGCTGTTGCTGCTGTTTGAAGTAGCAAATAGACGTTGCGCTCCTCACCATGGGAATCTCATTTGCTTGAATTTCGCGAGATAACTATATTTTTCAGGTTTTCTGTCTGAGGCTTGAGAAGAAGAAATGCTTCTTTTTTTTCTTATTTTACACTTAAAGAAATCAAAAACCATCTCTATATAACTGCGGCTTCCAACTTCTTGCTGATAATCTTGATGAGATGCAGATACACTGCGTGTTAGAGGGAGCCCAGGAGCATTTTCATCGTTTGCAGCGGTTGCTTGAGGGTCTGGTATTTGCATTTTCTGTTCATTTATTTGCAATTCTGATTGACTAGATCGAATTGGAGAGACAAGATTGTCTGCACCTGAGCTTTGTGGAGAATATAGAGGGTTTTTACACGCAACAGAAACACCTTCTCCCAGAGCCTCCACATCAGCTGGAGGAGAGGAAGCAGGTAAATTAGGGTTAATAAAGCAGTTTTCGGGAATAATTTCGTGTTCTTCATCTTCTAAACAATTAAAGAAATGCCTTAAACTCACAGAATCGCACATTGCATCGTAAAATTTCAAAGAAAAATGAAAGAAATTTCATTCAAGACCAATGGTTTCGTGCGTTGGGGTGTATGCGCAGCTCGCGACGGTGATCTTCAGCAAAGATCTTGCAAGGAAAATCTATCAAATTAGATCAAAAAATAAATAAATTTACAGCAAAAGAATGAAAAACATCTATAAAATGCAAAACAATCCTCATACACAACTAATATGCAGCAAACTCAGCAGCCACTGCAAAGGCATCTAAGCCAGCCTCTGCTGGGGGTCTGCACGAAATGTTTGTTCGTTTTCCTCTTGTTTATTTTGTTTATTTAAAAGGAAATGCATTAAAACCATTAAAATAGTATTCCTCAAACAAATAAGAGGAATTATAACAAAGAAAACCAGCAAAGCATACTGTACAAACCATTTGAATAAATTTGAATGTGCATATACACCTCAACTGCACTGCTGACCGGTGCGGATGTTATTACCAACAATATTCTTCGTTTTAATTCATTTTTCCTCGTTTATTATTTTAATTTGTCTTATTTCTGATCTATGTTCGTCGTTTTTCTGCACCTTTCCTCAAACTACATGAAGACTGCTACTCCCTTGCGTCTCCTTACTGCACGACTGCAAAGGAAGTATATTAATTGTGCTTGTAATGTCTTTAAAATATATTTAAAAGAATTCAGCTTATTTTTTAATTAAAATAATTCCTTTATTCTGCACTAAAGAAGGAAAACAAAGACTCGGACGAACCAACTGTATCCCCACAAAGACAAACAAAGAAGGAAATGAACATGTAAATAATAAAAATCAAAAGATCAAAGTATAAAATAAACAATTTATACACACCGAAATATTATACTCTGAACTGCATCCAACTTATACAGCGAAAACCCATGTCTCTGGTTTCTGCATGATGGCTGAGAGGTAATTAGGGTTTATGAGGGTTTATTAGGGCTTATCACGATTTTATTAGGGTTTATTAGGGTTTATTAGGGTGCATTAGGGTTTATGAGGGTTTATGAGGGTTTATTAGGGTTTATTAGGGTTTATTAGGGTTTATTAGGGTTTATTAGAGTTTATTATTGGGCCCTCTGTGGGGCCCCCTGAAGGAGACTGTACTCTACAGGAGGAGGCTGGAGATAAGATAGGATGTCGGAAGTGAACGCCCACGAGGACCTGCTGCTGCTGCTGCTGCTGCTGCAGTTGCTGCTGCTGCTGCTGCTGCTGCTGTCGTAGCTGCTGCTATGGTAGTTTTTGCTGTTGCTGCTGCTGCTGCTGCTGCTGCTGCTGCTGCTGCTGCTGCTGCTGCTGCTGGGCTGCCGCCAGGGAAGCGCAGCAGCAAGCTGCTGCTGTGAGAGGGCGCCCGTTTTAGGAGACCCTTCTCGCTCAATTCCCATTGACTGCCTCTGCCTTAGCTTCAAACCCTAAACCCTAAACCCTAAACCCTAGACCCTTCGGGTATATTAGGGTGTATTAGGGTTTTCTAGGGTTTTGCTTGGGTTTATTAGGGTTAATGAGGGTTTATTAGGATTTATTAGGGTTCATTAGGGTTTATTATATTTCATTATGGTTATTAAATAGGGTTTAATAGCATGAAATACTTTATTAGGGCTTATTAGGGTTTATTATTAGGGTATATTAGGGTTTATTAGGGTTTACTAGGGTGTATAAGGGTTTTTAGGGTTTACTAGGGTTTATTTAGTAGACGGATATAGAGATGAATTTGTTCAAACGCATCAATAGAGCGACTTATTAAACAAACATAAACCCCTGCATGCATTTGCCTTCAAGTGTAATATATATAAGTAAATAAACAAACAAAAATATATGAATATAAATATATATAAATAAATCTATATATATATATACATATAGTTGCGAAAAATTATGAAATAGTAAGAATGGGCGATGAATAATAAAAAGAATTATTTTCTTTTAATATAATAAATTGTTGTATATTTCTTAATTATTTCATTCTATATTTATTATTATATATTATATATATGTATGTATGTATATATATATATATATATATTATATCTCTCTATATTATTATTTTGTATATCCCTTTATATCATTGCATGTTGTTTTCTTTCTTTCTGTACATTTGCTTGAGCGCGAGTACAACTTTATGTATATTCATATTTATGTAGTTTTGTTTATTATTTCTTCTACTTGCATTTCTTATTTTGTATTTGCTTGTTCTCTTTTCACCGTCTCATTGCATAATTGATTATCCTCTGTATATATAGTATATATAGATATATATATATATATATATATATATATATGCGTATGTTTATATATTATCTGCCTATTACTACATATACAGTTTTGAATAATATCCTCTGTCTTTGTTTGTTCTCGCTTGATTTTATCCTCCTCTGTTGTATCATTATTTTTCAAGCTTTTTAAAATATTTTTTGTTGCATTTGTCTTGATAAATACTATTATCTTATTCATATTCAGCTGTTACTGCATTTGGCCATGTGCATTTGTTTGTATTTGCTGTTGTTGCTAAACTAAAACTCTTTAATTAAACTTCTTCACGAAATTTGCATTTAATTCAAATGTACATACACTCGAGTAGCAGCAGAATTCTTTCTTAGTATTTCTATGAGTGGCTGCTATACTCTTTATAAATGCATGCATTGTGTAATTATATTGCTTGCATGCATGCTGATTTCTTTTGAAAAGGAGTAAGATTAGGCAAAGGAAATAAAGGAATTATGTTGTTTTTATTTTGTTTAAATTTACATTAATCGCTATCTCTCTCTGCTGTAAGGTGTATATACACCTCAAGACAGCGAAATAATGCATTTAATTATTTCCTTTACTATAGCGATTCGTTGTTCTTTGCGTATATATACATAAATACATACATACATACATATATACATACATACATATGTATATATATAAATATATATGTGTATGTATATATATGCTGTATATTGCTGTTAATTTGTCTACGAATAACGCAGTTATTTCTGTTGAATTCCTTTACTTCAAGAACAAACGAGGCCGAGAAGCACAGAACACCGATCGCTTCGTCTTGGGTATCGGAATAATTCGGCGAATTGCCGGCATTTTCAATTTGCTATCCAACATCTGCTGAACGTGCGGTCGTCTGCAGTCTTTTCCTTTCAACTGCACAATTCTAATTATCTGAAGTGCACCAAACAAACACAACAACAACTAATTATTATTTATTATTATTATTATTATACACTAGATGTACACACAACGCAAATTGATATACAAACCACAAGGAAGTGAACAATCAAAATTACAGCACAATCCAATCAACGCTTCTATCCTTCATAAATAAAACATAATAATAACAAATTGATAGTCAAGCAAATCGTGAGCATATATATATATATATATATATATATGCATGTACATGTAATGCATAAAACGCACATATACACCAGCACATAAAGCTTTTTAAGTGCTGTTGCAACTTCGCTACAGCGGCATTACTTGCACTATACAAATTATAAGTGTTTTATTGTGCATGCATAAATGCACAGATAATGCAGAAGCTAGTGGCTGTTCAAACCAAATATATCTTTGAAAACACACACTTGTTGAGGTGCCTGTACACCTCGCGAGAAGTACATATCAATAACCTGGAGAAACTCCGTTTGTCTATTTATGCAATTCACCGTTCAGATTCAGGAAAGAAAATATTATAAAGAACACCGAAGAAGAGAAATAAGATGCATTAAATCAAACACAGCAGTGAAAGAGAAGGAAAATAAACAAAGCAAGCAAAACAAATGCGTGTGAAGTAGGGGTAAATATAACCTAAACAAGCAATAAAGAAAGACAGTAGATTCTGAATAGCAGAGTAAACAAAGCAGAAAATCTACTGTTAAAAGGTTAAGATTAAAAATTGCACTTACTTGAATGCTGCTTGCGAGAGCCCGATGTCTTCCAGCCATCTCTGCATATATCTGGCTGATAGCTCCATTTTGAGTTAAATCGCGAACTTCTTTGTACATGTTGTGAGTGCCTGTACGGCTATCATAGCGCAGCCAGATACCGAAATTCTTCACGTATGTCCCTCTCTTCTCCTTTATTTCAGAGATTTCAAGGATCTCTCCATGCGCCTTCTTTATCTTCCTCAACTTCCTCAACAAATGCCAGAAACGAGATTCAGCCAGCACTTTATTCACCGCAAAAAGACGCATCCGTAGAGCAGGGGGGGAAGGATTCGAAGCAGTAGGAATCAGCCGGCCCACCACCTGATACTGCTTGATCTGCAGGGAAACACGTAGAAAAACAGAAAAAAAGGAGAAATATTGAAACAATACTTTGATATTTAAATAGTTATGAAAAGAAAAACAGAAAAAAATCACTCTAATTTCACTCTGAACGAAGAAAAATAAAAACGTTGCAAAAAGTTGGACGGAAATTCAACCGACATTTTCGGGTGTCTGTACACCTCGAGAATAATCAACGATCAGAGAACCAACACAAGAAAAGAACAAGAACAGCCCCTCCTCTCTTATTGACTTTTCTTATTCTCTTTATTTCTCATAACCTTAAACTCTTTAAATAGAGAAGACTTAAAAGGCGGTCTTCACACAGCAACAGAACGACTAAGAGAAAAGCATAGAAACAGGAATTATTATACCCCTTCTATGAATAACCCCCAGCTTTAATATAATAATGCATCAACATTAGATCATTAATAAGGAGAAAAAGCAAATAATTACAGACAAGATATACACAAATAATGCGTTTTGCATGCGCCCCACAGGTAAGAGGGTGTTTCCCTTCCGTCTGCTGCATCTAGAAGTATTGAGACAGGTCAAATAAGAAGAAAAAGAAAGAAAACGAAATACAAAAAAGAAGAAATTTGTTTATTTAGAGTTAATATCCAATATGCAGCTGCAACAAGCAGCCCCCCCCCCGCACAGCGAGTCTCGCGACATAGAAGTAAACAATAGATAGGGTGTTTTGATGTTTTCTTTGGTTTATATTGCAAGAAAAAGAATTAAAATACTTTTAAATGTACTCACCGGCTGCTGTAGGGATTTGTCTGCCTTCATTTTCAGAAGAAGAGAAATAAATATTCTGCGGGAAGAGGTGGGGGATGCAGCAATTCAACAAAAAGAGAGTCAACCGGAGAGTAAATATTTGTTTATTTCTTCTTCTTTTAAATTAAACAATCCAAATAACATCCCCTAAAGCCTTAATACAGCCGCTCTTCCCTCTTCTTCCCTCCTAAACAAATCATAAAACAAACACATGCAAACATCACAGCCCTGTAAGAGAGAAATGAGTGCAGCAAGCAGCCCGCTTACCTGCTGCTGCGCAGCTCAATCAGAATACCTCTCAAATTCTTGTTTCTATTCAATAAAATGTTTTTAAATAAATTAAATATGTTTTTATTTATTTATTTTCATCTATTTTACCCTATTTTTCTGCAAAATACAAACAAGAATAAGAAGATACGCTGCGCGAGGGAGACGCTGTGCATGCAGCAACCAGGAAAGCATAGCTGAGGTGTATGTGCAGGACATGAATATCAATATATCTACATATATGAATTTATAAACATTATTTAATATTAAAACTTAATTAAAAGATGTCTATTCCAGAGGGAAAAGAAAAGAAAACATATATATCTGCATTGAAGCTGTACGAATTTCTTCTTTTTATACTGCTCATAGTTTATATAATAATGTTTGTAATATTATAATCATATACTTCTTCTGATTGTTATTTATTTGTTTAATATCAATCATATACAGCATTCTTGCATGCAGTAAAGGCATTAACAAATGCTGGAGACAACAATAATTAATAATATTATACTCCTAGACATTAACAAATGCTAGAGATAATAATAATTAATATATTATACTCCCACTTGTGGTCCTATTCAGTATATTATATTATATTCATACTTCTGCGTTTATCTAGCAGCAGCAGATACAGCAAGAAGTGCTGAAGCTCAACTCTCAGTAGATTTTATTTTCTTCGCAGTGCTTTACAGCTTGCCCTCCATACATTTCGTTGCACATCAAGTAGGAAACACTCATAGGGTTTTAGGCTTTAGGGTTTAGGGTTTTGGGGTTCTAGGGTTTAGAGTCTTAGGGCCTTAGGGTGTAGGGTTTTAGGGTTTAGGGTTTAGGGTTTAGGGTTTTGGGGTCTTGGGGTTTGAGGGTTTAGGGTTTAGGATTTCGGGGTTTAGGGTTTAGGGTTTTAGGGTTTTGGTGTTTCAAAGTTTAGGGCTTCAGGATTTAAGTTCTTAGGGATTAGGGTTTAGGGTTTAGGGTTTAGGGTTTGGCTCTGGAGTATACACCAAATCGCTCTGAGCTCAATCTTCTTCCTTTCCTCTTTTTTTAAGTATTATTTCATATCTTTTTGAATCTGTTTTTCTCTATCTTTTCAAGAAGAGTTTCTGTCTCCTTAACTTAAATCCTCTCACAGCCCCCACAACTAAAACAGACAGCATTTGGCGGTGCAGACAGAGCAAATGTAGTTAATACATCTTATAATATATATATATATATATATATGTATATATATATGTATGTATATAATACACATATACGATTTTATTTATATATTAGCATTCAGAAGAGTGGCAGCAAACAGGAAAAAACAAACTGAGCAATTGTAGCAGAGGTAGACAATCACGAACAAACAAACGCATGTATATGTATATATATATATACATATATATATATACATATTATATATATATTGTAAATATTATTATTCTCATTTGTTTTTTATTTATTTATTGAAGATGTTCTTCTCTTCCTTGTTAGAAATCTGAAAGGAGACTGTAAATTGTTTATTTTTATTTTCTTTTTGAATTTCTTCAACTTACCTCACGAAGTTTTCGTTCTGCAGAGAAGTTCAAGATATCTCTTTAATAAAAATATAATATAAATATAAATATATATATATATATATATTGCAAGACAATGTACGGTGTATGGATTAAATCTATTTTGTTTTGAATATCGCGAAGATGTTTTGTGAATAAATTTATTTTAATGCACTTTACTGTCTTACCCTTTAACTCCTTTAGATAAGATAATACATTTTCTATTTAATTTAGATAGGTTATTGCTTTTGAATAAAATAAATAGAAAGAAGACTTTTAATTCATATCCGATTGATAAGACAAATGTATTAGATGTGCTGCTGATTTCTATTTAAATTCTATTAAAACAAAATAAACACCTTATATATACCTTAGATAGATGAATGCATTAAGAGATATATCAATCCTATACACTGTAATTAATTACAAAGAGAAAAAGGAGCTTTTGTTGTGCATGCATGCAAATGTATTTACTTCATTAATTAAAATAGAATATCTGCGGTATAACAATGCAGACTCAGTTTTATTTCTTGAATTCATCTTACAACTGTTTTCATAAATTATTTTGCAGTGTATATACACTTGGAATATTACCGCACATGGTTTGTGAGGGACGCTTCAAAATGATTAATATAAAAGTGTTTAGGCTGCTGTATACTCAGAGCTTGGGGATAAGAGACGACGTTATTTGCTGCATCTTAGCAATCTTTTCCTTTAATCTATTGGCTTGCGTGCAGCAGCAGCAGCAGCAGCACTAGACCAGCAGCAGTAGCATCAGCAGCAGCAGTAGCAGCAGATACTTGTCTTATAGTGAGACCGCTTATTATTTTCTTTACAGTTGAACTTCGGGATTCAAAAAAGATGAAAGCAGCAGTCTTCGTCTCAAAGCAGAGACACCTGCATGATGCATGCGGAGGTGTTTCTGTCTGTATAATGACGCACATACATTTAATATGAAGTTAAAATGCTATTTAGAGTGGTGTATGTATAGAGTAGGAATTCGAGTTGATCATAAGGAAGTGCAGATCTATCTTTGATACCTCTTGGAGGTCGGCAAACAATAAAATAAAGAGGAATAAAAGGCATAAATTTGAAATATTGATAATTTAATTTGAATTTTATGATGAATATTTTAGAAACATTTTAACAGAAACCCTCAATTAAGGCTCCGAGTCCTTTAGGCTAGCGGAGGCGGTTGAGTTTGCGGATGAAAAGGGAAGAAAACGCTCAATAATTATTTAAACATTAACAAAAATATAAATTTAATTTCAATTTAAAATTTTTAAGGCCTTTTTTCAATTCCAGAGATAAACTCAAAAGAAGAAAACCAAACGAAATATGAAATTAGAGTTTCGTCGGCTGTCTGTACACCTCCTTGCTGCGCCCCCCCCCTTATTGCAGAAACTGATGATTTAGTTTTTTTTTTGAATATTTCTGGTGGAATAAGTTGACAAGTTGTTTTATAAGTTTAATATTTTTGAATTTCAACAAAAAGGTCGCAGATCATGGATATTCGCTCTGCTTTACGTTGCCGCATTTACCAACCGATGCTGTTGGGGCTTGTGCTAACCGTCGATTTCTTTCCTCTTTGATCAATCTATTTAAATTTCCTTTTCAGTTTATCCTTTTGTTTGCCTCAATATTTCTGCAGAGGGGTCCCATGAGCCCCCAGGGGCAGCTGCATGCGTCTCTAGGGTTGCTGTACATCTTTGTTGTTATCACCTTCTACTTCTTATTCCATCAGCATGCGGCTTGCTGCCCTTAGCAGCAGCGGCAGCCGCAGGAACGACAGCAGCAGCAACAGCAGCAGCAGCACAAAGAGCAGCAGCAGCTCGAAGAGCAGCAGCAGCAGCATATGCTCACCTGATCCAGGAGAAGCAGCAGAATATGATGACACAGATGAGGAGCTCAACTTCCTTTGTACATGTTGCAGCAGCCCTAGCAGTGAAAGGCATAGGCGGATACGGCTGCTGGATCGCAATAAAAGCAGCAACAGCAGCAGCAGCAAGCAGAGTAGCAGCTGGAGCGCCTTGAAGGCTTCATTGTTGCTGCAGCGTTTCTCTCTGCAGCAGTTATCAGGTGCTCAATGTTTTCTGTTTTCTACTGCTGCATTACTTTTAATCTGCACTCTGCTGCTGCTTATCCTCCTCTGTTATTATCTTTTTTATTATACTCCGCCTTACGGGGGACCCTTAGGAGCTGCATATCCTGAAGGCAGCAACATTGGGTATAAGGGGCCCTCTTGGAGAGAAGACAAAAGCTGCAGCGACTTCCCTCCCCTCATTGATCCATGTAACAAACCCTAAACCCTAAACCCTAAACCCTAAGCCCTAAACTCTAGCCCCTAGCCCCTAGTGGGCCCTCTAGCACAATATAACCGTACTTGTACGCTGCATGCATTCAATCAACAGCAGATAATCACACCTCACTCATAAGGGTTTAATATTTAGGGTTTAGGGTTTAGGGTTTATGGTTTAGGGTTTAGGGTTTAGGGTTTGTGTGCAGTTTACGATGGTTTGATAAACAAGGACATCTTTCGTGGATCTGCTTACCGCGCTTCTTCTGCTGCATTTTTTGCTTTGTTTGATTACTTTTGGAGGCCTTATAGACGCCTTTATGAGAAGCAGAGTAAAGAAGCAATTAACTCAAGAAACAAAGACGAAGAAGCAGCTTCATATATACTAACCGGCAGGGAAGACATATGTTTATTTAAAGTGCAGCAGCAACAACACACAATAACAGATCAAACAAATACGCGAAAAGATAATCTTCTGCTGCACTTCCCAATCCCTATAGCCAGAGAGACATTTGCTTGCACTCCACCACCAGCAGCAGCAGCAGCAGAAGAAGCAGCAGCAGGAGGAACAGCCGAAGCAGCAGCAGCAGCAGCAGAAACTTCTGCTGCTGCTGCTGCTGCTGCTGCTCCTTTTGCTGCTGAACCCGCACAGGAGGGCCAAATATACCGTTCAGCAGGACCCGTGCAGCAGCAGCAGCAGCAACAACAGCAGCAGCAGCAGCAGGGGG